TTTTTTTTTTTTTTTTGTCAAGTTTGGTTTTCGGTTTTTTGCGGTTCGGTGTGGTTTTTCACCGAACCGAACCGTTGCTCACCCCTAATATGGATAAAGAATTTTCCATTAAAGATTTAGGGTTTGCTAAGTTCTTCTTAGGTAATGAGATTGCCAGAGGTGACAAGGGAACTTATCTTAGCCAGAGGAAGTATGTTATGGACTTGTTGCATGACATGAAGCTAGATAAAGGTAGGACAACAGCTACACCATTGCCTCATGGTCTAGTTCTGAAAGGGAAGGAAGGTTCACCTTTGGCTTCAGGGGACACTTATAGAAGGCTAGTGGGGAGATTTTTGTATCTTAATCTTACAAGACCAGATATAGCTTACTCAGTTGAGCAGCTGAGTCAATTTGTTAATGATCCATATACTTCTCATTGGGATGTTGCTCTACATGTTCTAAGATACTTGAAAGGGACTCCTTCACTTGGTTTGTTTTATCCTAATGCCTGTTATTTTCATTTGACTGCATATTGTGATGCAGATTGGGGTGCATGGCCAGAAACTAGAAGATCTCTTACTGGTTTTTGTATTTTTATGGGACACTTACTCGATTCCTAGAAATGTAAGAAACAAACCACAGTGGCCAAGTCCTCAGCCGAGTCAGAATATAGGACTTTAAACTCCACAACCTGTGAGCTTCAGTGGCTGGCCTATATGGCACATGATTTGCAGATTCCACTTCATTTGCCTATCCCACTTCTATGTGACAATCAATCAACTCTTCATATTGTTGAAAATCCAATTTTCCATGAGCGCACCAAACACATGGAAATTGATTGTCATTTGGTCAGGCATAAGTTCAAAGAAGGACTGGTCACTGCTAGTTTTGTGTCATCCTCACAGCAGCTTGGAGATGGACTGACCAAGTCTCTTGGTGGTCAACCTTTTCGGTCCATGGTGGTTAAGTGGGACATGACAAATTTTCAGTGTCAGCCCACTTGAGGGGGTTGTGTTGGCATTGTGGTTAGTTATTTAGGTTAGTGTTGGTTAGTATTGGTTTATTAGGGCATAGCTTACTTCCCTTTAGTGTGTGTAGAATATAAACGAATTTCTCTTATAAGTTTTGAATTCATTTTTTATGCAATTACCAGAAAAGGAGTTTCATCTCCAAACTGTGCTGTGCTTTCTTATTTTTCCTGCACTGTGTACACTATGCCCTTGTTCCTGACCATCAATTTCTTCATTTTAAATACCAAAGAGGATACAAAACAACTTTCCGCAATTTCTTCATTTCAAATACCAAAGAGGATACAATACAACTTTATGCGATTGTTCCGACAACATTCAAGTAACTGGAATCCGAGTGGAGGAAAATAACAAAGGAAAAATGAACGAAAACAATGCAAAATCAGCCGTAAAATCCAATAAAATATAACATTAAATAACATTAAATCCAATCAAAACATACGATGCATGAGAACTATATTTCTCATTGAACTGCAGTGTCAAATAAGCAATAAAACACACTTTTTCGTCAATACCAAAATTTCTTTGCCCCTTGGGATAAAATAACGATTTCACTCTCCAGCCCAGTTGAAATTTTCTTGGCAAAGTGCCGCAAGGTCTGGCATTTCACCATCTACGGTTATTGCTATTGCCACGTCCTCCCCTTCCTCCACTTGAACCTCTGGGATATCCGCCTCTGCCACCGGAAAACCGCCTGTCGGAAGGGCCACCACCGCGGCCACGACCGCGACCGCCAACGCCACCGAATCTTCCTCTCGGTTGCTCTCTTTCTTGCAAAGGCGGCAAAGTCTTCACCACTTCCAGGCTTACACCAGCAGCATTTTGTTGGCCTGTGTCAGAAATGTAAATTAGTTTGGAGGAACACAATTCCAGCAATGTGACTGATTTATCATTACTTACAGAAAGAAATAAAAGAGGCCTACAAGGGATTTGTTACAAAAACTGAGTCAACATTAGAAAACCCCAAATAACCACATGAAATAAGAACACACTACACGATAAACTTTAAATAGGTAGCAAACGAAAGGTAAACTTGCTTGAATACAACAATATCGTCTCAAAGAGTTTTTTTGGTTAAGCGTGATTTATTTTGAAAAAAAATGGTATGGTTAGTTGTTAGCGGGATTTTGAATTAATACTAAAATAATATTTAAAATAAAATAATTAAAGTTGATTTGATATAAAAGTAGGAGAGATATGATGTGAAGTGGTCGTTAAAATTATATGAATGAATGAATAGCGTATTAAAGTTGATGTGATATGTAAAAATGATTGATTGATGTTATTTAATTATATTAATAATATTGAGAATAATGGGGTTGGGTTAAAGTATTGTTAAATTTGAGTTTGCAGTGAGTATGGATTGAGTTTATTTATAAACAATTTAGAGTTCATACACCAAAGGTAATTTGTAACTATGGAAAATAACTGGAAGATATGTGGAAGATAACTGAAATATTTTTTTAATAGTTGTGCTACACTCAAAAAACCTGAAAGTTCTTTTAAGATGATTTAAGTAAAAATCACAATCAAGGAACAAAACAATATACAGCTCAATTGCTAACAAAATCCTGTTTATAAATAGGGCAAAAATGTACAACTTATTCTCTCTGGAAGTGCATTTTCAATACTGTTCACAAAATTTAACTGCAAATTAAATGTAAATCATAATGAACAACTAACCTTCGAGGAAAGCATCTAAATCATTGGCAGCCACATCAAACACAGCACCCTTGCTATCAGCAGTCAGGGAAAGACCCTTGATTGACTCAACTTTATCATCCGGTAAAAACCTCCGCAGAATTCCATAAACAAAGCTGAAAAGACAATGCGTTACCAAAAAGAAGACAGACACACAGAGAGCCAAGAAAAGACAATGCGTTACCAAAAAAGAAGACAGACACATAGAGAGCCAAGAAAAGACAATGTGTTACCAAAAAGAAGACAGACACACAGAGAGCCAAAAAATATATGACGCGAGATTAATCAAACAAGTTCAAAGATTTCTAGGATTTATTGGCCTCCCATAGCGACATACAGCTTGCTACACAGAAGTTAATTAAAAGGCAATAAAATTAAAATGTAATGAACACAAAACCACCAAAGTGCACTCACGAATATTGATATGCAAAAAGGAGAGTGCAATCTGAGGTGATTTGCAACTACTTACGATTGACTAAAAATGGGCTTTCCACAATCGAGTTGTACAGTCACACAATTCTCCATAGAAGTGAGCAGAGAACGAGTCTTAATCTCAGTATAGCCCTACATAACACGAATACAGAAAACCAAGTGTCAACTAACGAAGCATGTAACCCCACAATCCCAGCACAATAAATCAAAACTCATGACAAGTCAAAACTTACAGCAGCCTTGGCCAGCGCCTTAGCAAGTAACTCAGTTGGGGTTAGATCAGATGAGTTTAGAAGCTCTTCAGCAGCAGTCATGAATACAGGAATCACACTGCAAGGTTTTTGAGTTGATAAGTAATAGATATACTACATCAAAGGTTAGGACCTAAAGAAAAGAAAAAAAAAAAAAAGAAATACACACAAAAATCAGAATAATACCTATCTGATATCTCGTTAATTTTATCTGCAGCTTCAGCACCAGCAGTTTTTGCAATATCAGCTGGCTGCGGAGCTGATATATGTTCAAACTTGACCCCTGATTCTCTTTCTATCCTAGAGAAATTGGACTTCCGTGGATCATAAAGCATCACAGCAACACCACTTTTGCCTGATAAAAGCACGGAAAATCCATCTGTCAAACAAACTCCATCCGTATCTTCAACTTGAAATAAAAATACATCAGCAACTTACCGGCTCTCCCAGTTCTCCCAGACCGATGGATATATGCCTCCACATCACGAGGCGGTTCACACTAAAGCATCAGGGAGATGTTATCATTACCAATGTGATGTAAGAAAATCCAAAAAAAAAGAGGAAAAGAGGGTATCAAAAGAGACAATTGCCTGTAGATCCACACACACCTGAATAATTAGCTGCACATCATCAATATCCAATCCTCGTGCTGCTACATTTGTAGCTACAAGAGTCGAAAATTTACCAGATCTAAATCCAGCTAGTGTAACCTGAAAACATTGAAGCATGGCTTGTAGAGGATGAACCTATTAAAAACGCAAGTGACCATTAAGAATCTCACCTCACGAGTAGCCTGCTGGATGTCACCATGCAAAGCACGGGCTCCAGGAAGTACTCCAGCAAGTGTGGAAGCAGAATCCTTGGTCTCGGTGAAAATAATAGTTCGACCACCACTGGATTGATATTTAACAAGGAAAAAAAGTCAGAAACCCAACAAAGAAAGAAGCTTGAAAATTGATTATAGAACAGATGAAGGCCAGACATAAAAACCAACCTACTATAGCAGCGAATGATATCAGGGATAAGCTGAGATCTGGCCGTCGCAGAGCAAGGAAGAACAAGGTGCCTTACACTGGTGCTGGCCTTCATTTTCTCATTACCGACAAGATCAGCAGTCTTCTTGTCTGGTTTTAAAAATTTGGCAGATATCTAGCAATCAAAATATACATTTATTATTTAAACAAAACAGGATAGTGAGTAGGCAACAGCAAATCACAGGATATTTCATATTGAATACATACTTGCTTAACCCACGGGGGCAAAGTGGCACTGAAAAGAAGTGTCTGCACCTTGCTGGCATCCTCTACCTTGCCTTGAGACATTAAGTAAGTTAAAATTAGGTTTAATCAACCAATACGCAAGGACATTATGCGACACACATAGAAACAAAGGATTAGAATGGTAATAAATATATATAGATAGATAGTGATGTTGGAAATTAGAATATCACTTGTGGTTGTCCTGCATTCGTTCCAAAGGGAAAATGAGCCTAGTGGGCTATTCCTCCCATTACGAGATAGAATCTCACCTAGGTGCACCTAGGATCGCGGTGCGCTTCACCCTTGTAGGCCAACACCCTTCCCCCGAATCTATGACTCTAACAAGTGAGAATAGAGAGATGGAGACAAACATACCTAGGATAAGTTCGACATCTTCAACAAAACCCATCCTCAACATTTCATCGGCCTCATCAAGAACACGAAACTTCAATGCTCTAAAGTCGATATTCCCCCTCTCAATGTGATCCTGCAAGATGATCTCCACAAAATATATTTGAGGTCTCTGGGCATAGAACATGCCAAAAAGTTAAGGTAAAAGGGACTAAATTTAAACAAGCACCTTAATGCGACCAGGTGTGCCAATTATCAGGTCAACACCTCTTTTCAATTGATCACGTTGTGGATTAAATGGAGCACCCCCATACAGGCAACATGAATTCAACCCCAAAGCTCCACCATACACTTCAAAGTCGGCAAACACCTAAGACAATAATCAAAAAACAATAACATCAAAGCCTAAACTTGTGAAGAGATGACTGAAAGATCTCAGGAAACTACTAAGATAAATATCACATGCAACTCCACACTAGAATCATATAATACCTGAGTGGCCAATTCCCTAGTGGGTAAAAGTACAAGAACACTAGGCTCCCTTCCATACCCAGTCTTACGGGATGCTTTCGCTGGCCCGTTTGTCAACGATTCCAATATAGGTAACACGAAAGCCAGCGTTTTACCCTGAAAAATATCCAAAAGATCAATTTATTATACTACATCAATGTAAATAAAAGAAGTTAAAAAGGATAGAAGTTAAAAAATTGAAGACTTTGACAGGACTAATCAACAATGATAACCACGGGACTAGAAAAAGTGCAGCTGGGAAAAGAACACATGAACATGGGGAAACCCTAACCTGACCAGTTCGAGCCCTTCCAACCAAATCATAACCATCAAGTATCATATCAAAGGTCATCGCTTGAATCGGAAACAGAGACTCAATACCCTTGGCCTTCAGCGCATCCCTCAGCGGCTTTGAGATACGAAAATTCGAAACAGCATTCGGATTCTCCTCTTTTTCCTCCACTCCATTTTCCTCGAGCTTCATCTTCTTTTTCTTCTTTCCCAAATCATTCATCGGCTCGTCCATCTTGGAGTTGGAGCTAATGTCGCTCTTCTCCTCACCACCATCGTCTTCGCCGCGGGAGGCAATCTCCAAAGCCTTTCGCTTCTTTTCTTTCCCCTTTTTGGGGACACTGTTGGAATTAGAATCGTCTGGATCAGGCTCGGAGGCTATTCTCGTCTTTTTGGCAGACTTTTTCTCCTTTTTGATCTTTTTATCAGCGGACTTGGCGTCCACCTCCATCTCCGCAAATTCAGCTGCTTTCTTCACTCTCTTGTTCTCGTCAGATAATTGAGATTCTGCTAACACAATGGAAGGCATGACAACTATATAAGTTAGCGTAAACTACCACTCTATGCGTATGCAGTCTCCGGTACGGCGGCGGCGGCGGAGGCGGGGGTTTGTTTTGCTCTGATGTTGCTCCCAAAATATTGGCAGTTACGCGCAGAGAAACAGCAGAGGCGAAAGAGGAGGAATTAAGGTTTAGGGTTTGCCAAGTTATAGTCAATGGCGGTGGGCGAATTTGATCCGTTGGATGGCATGTGGGCTTAACATTTAACTTGGGGCCGTTGGATTTTACGTGATCCCAAATTCATGGTGGCTGGCTTCAGACACGTGATATTTGCGCACAAACTATTGTAATTAGGGTAGGCTACGGGTCGGCGGGCCGACCCGCAGGGCTGTTGACCGACCTCGTTAGCCCTTTGAATTCATTCAAAAAATAAAATTCGGTGCTGGTTTTCAATCGGATCTGAATCCGGAAAAATAATTTTATTATGATTATGATGCCGGAAAGAAATATTAGAAATAATTTTATAATAAATATTGTACAATAAAATTAGTTTTATAAGTTAAAACATTGGAAAATATGAACATGATTTACTTTCTTTTTTTTTTGTGATAAGTCATATAATTGAATAACTTTTATATAAACAAACAAAAAAAAGTTGAGAAATTTTTATTTGAGGAATTCATAAATTTCAATTTGTGATGAAAAACTCAACTAAATGAGTAATATTTATTTTCTAATAAAACTTTTACTGTCATTATATCATCTATTAATATATAATAAGGATTAACATAATTCACTTTTAGAATTCTTTCCCGCCAAATTCATTAATTACATGCTAAATTTAGAATTTTACAATTTTGGATAAGAAATTAATGAGCATCTATTAATATATAATAAGGATTAACATAATTCACTTTTAGAATTCTTTCCCGCCAAATTCATTAATTACATGCTAAATTTAGAATTTTACAAATCTGGATAAGAAATTAATGAGCATCTATTAATATATAATAAGGATTAACATAATTCACTTATAGAATTCTTTCCCGCCAAATTCATTAATTACATGCTAAATTTAGAATTTTACAATTTTGGATAAGAAATTAATGAGCATCCAGAAATAAATTGATACAATCTGTTTTTTATTCACTTTTCAAAATTTAGTTAGATATTGATCTATCGAATAAAATGGTACATCCAGAATTTTAGGAACAAACTGATATAATCTCAATTTGCTAATATGTAGGCAAAATCTATGGAATAATATAATTTCGGCATGGACATGGTCGTGCATCTCCATGCTTCCTGTTTGACCTCTTACACCTCAAAGGTATATATCCTTCCACAAATTAATATATATATATATATATATATATATATATATATATATATATATAGGGTTGGGTTCACATGAGAATGGTTCTCAATGAAATAAATAAGAATACATCATAACCATCAATTTTGATAATCTAACGGACAACAGAAAACACAATTTTTACACTAATTAAGGGCAATTTTGACATTATACAATACTCACCTGCCCAACAACACGTGCCCCACCCGACACTGTCTCTCTCTCTCTCTCAATCACACACAGCAAAACACATTGTTTCACGCACAAACACACAGATAACAATAATCAGAAACCACAACCCCATCGTCACCATTGTTGCCCCGTCAGAAGCTCCACTCAGCCCGCCGTGAAATTGTTGCACCGTCGGTCCTGCCGCCGCGCTTCTCTCTTCGCCGCTGGTCGAAATTCACGCAGCCGTGAAGGACCTCGTTGGCCACGTCCTCCTCCCACAATCATCTTCCATGACCTGCCACCAGACACCGCCTCCTGCCGTCGTCCTGCGGTTCGATTTCACCCTTTTTGCCTGTCTACAAATCCGGCGAGATTCCGACGGATCTCCACTCCTGCTTCCCGTACACCCTCACCATTGTTACCGACAACGATTGTGCGTGCATCGGGGAGGGCTGATTTCTCACTGGTCAGAACCCCGGTTGGAAATTAACGGTGGGAGACGCCTGATTTGGCCAAGCGAGATGTTCCAGCGATAGCTGCTGTCTGCGTGACGATTTGAGTTGCCGGCCGGCGATGAACATGAACAGATGAAGAGGGCTGAGGGTTGGGAGACGGGAATTTTGCTTTTAAGATTTTGGTG